GAGATTATTTAAAAATACAATCTTTTAAAAAAAGAAAAAAAAAAGCTACTATAAGGGAACTCACCTAAGTAGGGGTAATAAATGCAGAGTACTACTGGAAAATGCCTAAAGGCTTTAATGGTCTCTTACTACTTACTTACTCTTTTATGCTGTGCTTATTCCCCTGCTGTTATCAGAACGCGGGAAAGCAATGTCACTATGGAATCGCCCTGAAAACAGGAAGGAAGTACTCTGGACTGATTAAGACCAGCATGACATTCACAGTGGCCAATCTCATTCCAGTTGAGTTGAAGTAATCATTCTCCAATATTTGTTCCCTGTCAGCTCAAGTCAGGAGCGAAAGTGAGAAAGTGTACACACACACACACACACACACACACAGAAAAAAAGGCTAACTTATTACAAACTGCTTGTCACATACCAAATATTTGTAACATTTCAAAAAATATGTAACTACGGAGCTTCAATAAGTTGGTATTTACAAGGTAAAATAATTTCAAAACTTACCAGCACCCCAGCCCCAAATTTACCAGCCCATATTGAAACTTCACTGTTCCTAATCTTCTCCTACCCTACCCTCCACTGAGAATGAAATCATCTTGCTATGAAATGCTAAGAGAAAAAAAATATTCTGATAGCTTCCTAATTTTATATATATATAGTATTTGTCTTATTATGTGTCTTTGTTCAAGCACATAAATGCCAAGTTAATCACTTAAAAATGGGTTATATAATTCTAGGCTGTCTACCCATATTTTCCAGTCTAAACTTACTCACCTTTATAGCCTCCTTTTAAAAAAGTTGTTTTTGAGTAGAGTTGACACATAATGTTACATTAGTCTCAGGTGTATAACACAATGATTCAACTTCTCTATACCTTATGCCATGCTGTAGTCTCCTTCTTAAATAATCAATTTTATCAATTCTCATTCCTGGTTCCACACAAGTACTTGGGATTCTAATACTTCTACATCTGTGTATATATATTTCACTATATTCTAACACATAAGACCCAGCTTGAGGGGCACCTGGGTGGCTCAGCTGGTTAAGTGTCTGACTCTTGATCTTAGCTCAGGTCTTGATCTCAGGGTTGTGAGTTCAACCCCATGTTAGGCTCCACCGTACTTAAAAAAAAAAAAAGAGAAAAAAAGATCTAGAGAGGGGTTCACTTGTCCAAGTCTACACAGATTGAGGAACCCACAATCACACCCAGGTTCATCTGTTTTAAGAACCAAAGCTATTAACCACTGTTCTATTTCATTCCATATGCTTTTATTCCTCTCTTCATTACATGATTGGGAAAACACAGCATGGACGGACATCCATATGCACAAAAATGAAGAGCTACAGGCAGAGGGAGAGGGAGAAGCAGGCTCACCACCGAGCAGGGAGCCCAATGCGGGGCTCGATCCCAGGACCCTGGGATCATGACCTGAGCCGAAGGCAGACACTTAACTGGCTGAGCCACCCAAGCACCCCCTGGGTATTTAGTTTAAAGAAGGGAAGGGGCGCCTGGGTGGCTCAGTTGGTTAAGCGACTGCCTTTGGCTCAGGTCATGATCTTGGAGTCCTGGGATCGAGTCCCGCATCGGGCTCCCTGCTCGGCAGGGAGTCTGCTTCTCCCTCTGACCCTCCCCCCTCTCATGTGCTCTCTCTCTCTCTCTCTCTCTCTCTCTCAAATAAATAAATAAAATCTTTAAAAAAAAAAAAAGGGAAAACTATGTTCACATAAAAACCTATACATAAATGTTTACAGCAATTCCATTCATAATTGCCCCAAACTGGAAACAACCCAAATGTCCTCCACTGGGTGGATGCCCAAGCAAACTGAGGTGCATCCAGCTCAGCAACAAAAAGGAACACACTACTGATATATACAACAGCTTGGCTGAATCTCATAGGCATGATACTGAATGAAAGAAGCCAGTTTCAAAAGATTACATACTACATGATTCCATTTATAGGACATTCTCAGAAAGACCAAACTGTAGTGACCAAAAGAGATCAGTGATTGCCAGGGTTTGGGGTAGGGAAGAGGTTACTGTAAAGGGACAGTATGAGGGAGTTTTGTGGGGTAGTCAAACTGTTCTGTATCCTGACAGTAGTAGTTGGTTACAAAAATCTATATACATCCCATGTGGCACCTGGCTGGCTCAGTTGGTATAGCATGCAACTCTTGATCTCAAGGTTATGAGTTCGAGCCCCACACTGGGTGGAGATCACTTAAAAATAAAACATTAAAAGAAAAATCTAGGGCGCCTGGGTGGCTTAGTTGGTTAATCGACTGCCTTCGGCTCAGGTCATGATCCCAGGGTCCTGGGATCGGCCCCGCATCGGGCTCCCTGCTCAGCGGGGAGTCTGCTTCTCCCTCTGACCCTCCCCCCTCTCATGTGCTCTCTCTCTCTCACTGTCTCTCAAATAAATAAATAAAATCTTTAAAAAAAAAAAAGAAAAATCTAAACACATCCCCAAAAAGTCCATTTTAGTGCATGATAATTTTTAAGGTAAAATAAAAGATTCTTTAATTCTTCTGCAGATAACTGGTTAATTAAATAGGGGCTAAAAAAGTTACCACCTTACCTCTTGTTATATATCAAAATACATTCCAAAGAAACTAAAAAGTTAAATGTAAATTATGAATACTGATCTTCTTAATATACATGAAGCTCTTACAAATAAATAAAAAAATGAACACTTTCAGAGAAAAATGCACCAAGACATGAAGAAACAAGAATTAAATATATGAAAAAGTCTTAATCTCACCAATAATCAAATAAATGAACAATCAAGCAATGAGCTAATATTTTTTGTCAACTGCATTACAAAAACACAAAACCTTAAAAGAATGATAACACCAATACTGGCAAGGGTGGGAAAAGGAACTGAAAGAAAACTACAGTTTAACATGTTAAGTGTTATTACATTTCCTGAAGGTAATTTGGAATATATGTCAAAACCCTCAACTCACACACAGTCTTTTTCCATTTTCAGAAATTTACTAAGAAACTAATTAGACTAGTACAGAAAAATGTATGCAGAAGAAGAGTCATATCATAATAATGAAAACAAGTAATATAAAAAGATAAAATCAATTATCATCCTATGACGGGGGAAACAAAGACAAAAGAAAAACTAAATTTCCTTACTACTTACAGCCCATTGACAAATCCTTCAAACAGGCAGAGTGACATTCCTTTAGGAACTCAGCTACCTTGATTTGATACTTCGCTAAGGGCAAAAGGCAATCTTAGCTTAACATTATCCCAACCCCCCAGGGTCCTGTAAATCTACTTTAACACATAAAATTCCTTTAGAAACTTCCTTTATCTCTATCCCCCAAGATATATGTTAGCAATCAACCCCCAAGCGTACAGCCCACCAATGTACTTCCGAAGGGTCTCATGACTAGGGTTTTTACTAGACAGTAATAAATGGCCTTTTCCTAATAACAGCTAGCCTTGGAGGTCCTGGAAACCTTGCTCCCAAAATTTCTTAGAGACTTACGCTATCCCTAACCCCCTCCCAACTTTAAAGTATATAATCAGCCACTCCTCATGACCCCGGTACAGCTCTTTCTGCCCACGGGTCCTGTCCCCATGCTGTAATAAAACCACCCTTTTGCACCCAAGATGTCTCAAGAGTACTTTCTTGGGGGGCGCCTGGGTGGCTCAGCTGGTTAAGTGACTGCCTTCGGCTCAGGTCATGATCCTGGAGTCCCGGGATCAAGTCCGGCAGTGGGCTCCCTGCTCAGCAGGGAGTGTGCTTCTCCCTCTGACCCTCCTCCTTCTCATGCTCTCTGTCTCTCATTCTCTCTCTCTCAAATCAATAAATATCTTTAAAAAAAAAAAGAATACTTTCTTGGCTGTTGGCTCCAAACCCTACCACTTCAAACCACATCCTTATATATCCATATAATAGAATATTACGCAGTCATTAAAAATCAAGTTAACTGGAAAAAAAAAAAAATCAAGTTAACTGAACTGTTAATTGAAATAAGATTATGTTATTTTAGTCATGACTGCTTTAACTTCCTTCCAGTCTCCAAAGCAAAAGGAAAGATTTTTGTTCAATGACAAAACAATGATCATGGTATAATGCAAAATTTCAAAGAAAGCAGAATATAAAAGCATATACGAGCCAAATTCTATTTTTTTAAACATCTGTGCATGTGCCACAATATTATCTCTCAGTGGTGAGATTATGGGTGACTTTTTATTCATCTTTTCTTTATTTTCTAAACTTTCTATAAAAAACATATTAAAAGAAGAAAAAAACAAAAAACCACATATTATGTTCTAATTTTTTAAAAATCAATGTTTCTTTAAATCGCCCAAAATTACATCCAAAAGGAGTTTTCCAAACTTGTTTTCTAAGGGGTGCCTGGGTGGCTCAGTTGGTTAGGCATCTGACTTCAGCTTAGGATATGATCTCAGGCTCCTGGGATCCAGCCCCACATCGGCTCCCTGCTCAACAGAGTCTGCTTCTCCCTCTCCCTCTGCCCCTACCCCTGCTCATGTTCTCTCTCTCTCAAATAAATAAATCTTTAAAAAAACAAACAAAAAAAACTTGTTTTCTAATCTAGATTATCTGCTGTTATCCTGGTCACAAGCATTTCACTGTTACATAAGAATGACAATTCCATGTACAAATTTCTTCTAGTTACTAATCCCAAATAAGCCATTACCATCCAGGGCAGAAGATCTACAGATAATGGCATCTCATTAACACTGCCACCCACAAGGTGCAGAATAGTATGTGTATTAGGATAATCCTTTTATGTCTTAAAATTTTTAAAGAATATTTCAGTAATATATAGAGGCTTATGTGCCAATATGTCTATACTTCTTTTTTCAGTTCAGAATCATAAGAAAGCATCAGAAATGGTTACCTTTTTTGGTGGGAGAAGAAATGTGTATCTTTCTACTGTTTGAATTATGAATCACCATTTTTGTACTTTTTCTTTACTTCTTAACTTTTTGTTTTGTTTTGTTTGCTGCTTACCATGGAGCACTTCTCCAGTACTTCCTCCTGGAACTTCAGGAATCGCTCCTGAACCTCAACTTCATTGAGGAAAAACGCAAGGAAGTGAGTGAAGGGTTGCTTTCTTCTAAAAGTGAGCAAAAGAACATCAATCCGAGTTCGAGCTGAAATTACACCACTTCGATGCTGGCCAGTGATTACTGCAAGCAAAAAAAAAAAAAAAAAGGGAGGGATGTTTAACATGAACATCCAGTGCTTGTAAGGTAAGTGGCCTTAATACTATCACCTCTGCAGAGCTCGAACAATCCTGAATGAGTACATAATGTCTGAACAAGGGACAGTACCAAGGGTAAGAAAATTACTAATGAATTCAATCTAAGCAGAATGAGGTTTAAAAACAGAATATCCTTGGGCTGCCTGGGTGGCGTAGTCAGTTAATCGTCCAACCCTAGATTTCCGTTCAGATCTCAGGATTGTGAGATCGAGGCCCCCCC